GAAACCATCATTTCTATCAGACAGTCAAGTACGCTGCGCGCCGTATCTCTATATTGAACCGGATATCCATTTACTACGGCATGTGACAGAGATTATCGCGTGCTATATGTAAGTTCCATTACAGTAATCGCAACGGTTGCAACCGAACCTGAATTATGATACGAGAAAAATCGGCGCGCTTTTTGTTACGAGCTTCCAAAGTCCAACACTAAAAATAAAAAGAGTCATGTTTCGGATTGTCCTCAGTGACCATTCTGTTGCAGTGATAGGCATTTCCTTTTGTATGCGTCAAAGCGGACAAAAACAACAACCAGTTGTAGTGAAACACGATACCGGTGAATATAATGAAGATGCTTAAGGCTAATCGTTGCGTACCCGATTTTTCGTGCAATGAAAACTACTATATTAGTTGTGTGATACAACGCAGTAGCACGGCGACCCCTTCAAGCAATGTTCTTTAAATGCATTAGGCAAGTTCTATAAGAAACATACCAAAACTCTTTTGAATGATGTCAATCCGGCTAACGTTTACCTAATGTGGAAAATGGTTGAGCATGGGGCACTAGGATAGAGATTGTCCGTGCAAATTTGGTGTTCATGGCATCTATTCAAAATGTCAAAAGCCTGCTTTCCGTCAGATCTAACGATAGTGGGCTAGTTTTCGGTGACAAAATAAGCGAACGCATCACAGTGACAGACCAGCACGAACGCTGCCGAAATCGATCATGCACTAAAAACTTGTCGCTCAAAAAGAGCGAGCTGGACGGAATCAGTCGAGGCCAGAGTTAGGCATCCACGTCGTCCACCTGGACTACCTTAAAGCTTTCGACCGTATGGACCACTGCATTCTCCTTCACAAGATTCAAAACTGTGAAATCGGTAACCCTGTTCTGACTTTGATATGCAACTTCCTCATTTAAAGTCATCTGAATGTGGGAGACTACAGCTCCATTCCCTATCCAATTGAAGTCCAGTGGGGTGCGCCCCAAGGATCGGTACTAGGTCAACGTTGGTTCCTAGCCTTCATCAATGATCTTGCCAGTGCGCTTCAGTCAGACTCCTTACTAGTTGCAGAAGACATCAAGGTCTGGGAAGATAACAAAGCACTCCAGGGTGATATCGAGAGGGTCTATATGTGGTCACCCGAAAACCGGCTCTAGTTGAACGTGAGGAATTGCAAATTTGTGAGCATACGTCATCAGTGTGCCTATGAATATCTATCTTTCCACAAGTACACTACGTAGAGTACGCAATCCAACCGTGCCATCCCGGAATCAAATTGGATATGGATGCGTTTGAAGATGCACAGCGTAGAAGGACGACATTCGTTAGGGAGATGTTGCTCCTCCTATACCAACACAGACTGCAAGCTCTGGGATTGTAGGGCGGTGAATATTGGCGTCAGCCTGTCGCTACCTGTTGCAACTCATCCAGAATGCCAAAGTGAGAGGGTACCAGCTCAAACTGAGTACTAACTACAATCGACTTGATGGCTGATGAACATCTTTCTCCCTTCGGATGTCTTGAACATGGAAGGCCCATACATTTCAAGTCATGTTAACCCCAGCGCTATTACCTTTTTAAAAGTCGCCTTTCTGACACGCTATTCAAACTGCATTACGTGATATAGTGCGTTTAACTCAGAGAACGAAATGACGCGAACCAAACTATACGCTCACCAGCTTTCTACGTAACAAAACGGTAAGGAGATCTTTATCGTTGTTTCGGTGCATAGCTTTCTCCTTTTTCCATGTTAACTTGTGGCATTCCATTGTAACCTGTGCCTTCATAATTCACACTGCGTTCATCTTAGCATTGGCTTTTTCCGCGTCATGACTAATTCTTCACTATTTATAAGGCATAATGAATCTTGCTTCCCTGGTTAGTGGGCATTTGTCCGTGATGATTCAATGCAACTGGTTTGCAGTTCCCCTGACCTGATCGCGGTACTACATTTGGGGCACAACGAAAGTATGTCCACAATTACTAATATTAATACTGTTTCTTTTTTTGTTGTATTCTGCAATGGCATCCATGTGCAACGTAGATGGGGAAGTCATTTGACACGGCGTCTTCCACATTTCTTTTAAATGTCTTTGTGTATCCTTGTATTTTCAATAGTTTCTTGATTTGGAAACGATTAAAAAACTTTAAGATGTAAGCTCTGCACATAATTCTCAGACATATCTTTTCTTTAAACGGCGTTGCGTTTTGAAGGCATTTTACTGTTGATGATGATATATCCCGGCTCATCTTCCACTGCAAGGCCAGTGAATTATACCAAAATCCCAACTACTACCCATTACACTGTTGACGTTATGGGTCATTTGCAATATCACAAGAACGTAAACTTATTTTGAACATAATCTTAACATCCCCTCGTGTTTCCCTTTATCATAGCCGGCCGCAAACTCAACATCGCTCATCATGTCAACACTGGCCCAGCAACGTAAGCTGGTGGAGCAGCTGAGGCAAGAAGCTAATTTAAATCGGCGACCTGTCTCCGAATGTGTCCGAGATATGATCGCCTTCATGGAACAGAACCGTGACAAAGACTGTCTGGTCAGTGGTTTCGCGAGCAAAAAAGACAATCCGTTTCAAGAGAAAGGTGGATGCGTATTGTTGTAGGCTGAAGGTGGAATGGGAAGTACGGTTGACGTTTTTTGATGAGGATCATACTGCACGTTCCAACGACCTTCGGTCTGTCCCGCTTAGTTCCACAAATGAATATGCAAAATTGACGCGTTTCGACCGCCGCATAAAAGTGCATTTCACTTAATTATTGATCTCATTCGTGACCTTATTCTTCTCACTACTTTACTGCTTTCAGCAGTAGTTTTAAGCTGTAATACATTGTCTTATTTTTTACGTAACACAGGGGTCACTGCTGTCGGTTAGCTCAACGTCCGGTCCCAGAACCTCCTACCTGTTCCAAATGTTGGACTTAACTAAAAGATTGATGCTGCACTTCCTTCACATTGGAGTAGTTGAATTTTTCTCGTTTGTACCATTGCTAGTCCCAGCGCGACGCGCCTGCGTCTCCCTTTTCTCTTCTGCCGTAACTGGTTTGTAACGGATAAAAAAGCAAATACTTGACCTAATCACAGTGCAAAATAAATAAAAAGTTAGAGAATTTACTGTTCATCCATTATTTGGCTGTTGCACAAACGAAGCATGCAGACATCACTCGTGACTATGCATCGAGAAATTCTAACGCGGTACACAAGTTAAACAGAGTCACCATCGTCTAGGTGCCAAACTGATTCCAAATGCACGCAGTTGAGAGGCTCACGCAGAAGTCGTGCGAATTAGCTTTGGTAACATTAAGCATATCATCAAGCGATGGCGCGGGTGGCGCGCACAAGTGATAAATTCGACTGGAGGAGATTTTAAAGACTCCTGGAAAACATGTTTAGTTCTTCATTTAGCAGGGGAAGTTGTTTGCTGTTTGTTTGTTGTTGTTTGTTGTTAGTCACAAGATGTCTGCTGCCAGTGTGAGTCAAAGCAGATCCCATCGGTCTGCGTCGCTGATCTATAGACATACTTCGCGATGGCAGTGGGTGAGACAAAGGCGCAAATGTTGGCCGCAGTGCGATTGGTGCTTATTTGGTGACGAGATTTTTATCAGATGAATGCTGTCTCCATGATTTGTATACATTAGAATAGCCTCTGTCGCAATGCAGAGGAATGTATGGAGATACCTAACGGGCACGCTATAAGGGCATTTGCAGTCGTCATTTCTAACCGTAGAATGTGGTTCATTGAAGGAGGTTCAATCAATTTTCAATTGGTTCGTTCCTACCTAGTATCGCATGGTGCAATCAGTCCAGCAATATGTACGAATTGAGGTTGCTGCGTGTGTCTATGTTAGTAGAACGCCTTTGGTGCTTCGAAATCGTCTACAAATTTCGTCATTTTCTCAATCGCCTTCATAGTACGGATGTACACAATACTGAATCACCAACAGCACCATATCGGGGGGGGGGGTTCGTTGCAGCATTTTTCAAACATATATTTTGGTACCGAAAGATCATCATAAATACATGTTATATGGAGCAGTCACTAGTAATTCGAGGTGACTACGAGCCCAATAAAATTTCCACTCTACCTTAATTAACTACTTCGTCCATCTAGGCTACAACTTCCGTTCCATGGGTAAAAGTCAGTTATCTAGATCCGTAGCTTATTGCACTGTTTTTGACGTGACTTATTAATTCGCTGTTGGGTTTACATAATTGGATTTCACTAAACACGTGAAAAGAAGTAGCTGTTCGTTATTGGTGAAAACTCGACATATAAATACCTAACGTCTACTCAGTTGATAGGCCTTATATGTGTCGATTACAAGCAGGGTTTAGCTTTGATCCGAAAAAAGAGGTAACTGCTGAGGAGGATGGGGAGCATGCTTTACAGTACCTGTACGTGCATGTTAGTATTGGTTCATCTTGAATATTTACTGGTCTAGACTGTAGACTGATAGCATCACTAAGATTCGCAACCTCGTTTTGCTCTACAATGGGGCCAACCATTAGATACAACAGTTCCGAAGGAAGCAATCTGGGCGGTTCATGCGCTCACGTCGGTCGATTCTAATAGCGTTCAAAAGATAACAGAATTATCTCCATTTTCCATAAGTTTCGAGCAATCCTTTAGAAACTGATAACTATTTGTGGGAGGCGCGTAAGCTACCTGTTTGATTTCGATGGCTACAGGTCTCCTGTGTTTACTGAATACAGCCAATTAACTAAGTCACAGTCTCTGTGCTAAAGTAACTTTATTCTATGAGTACTCAAATTCTGATTCATAAAACAGTGGATTTATAAAACCTATCTAAACAGCTTAGGCACTTCAAATGGATCCCCTACTGATTGGAACAATTACCAATCGAATATAATGATCTGACTCAAAGCTTCTTCATTCGCCAGCTTGTTTCAGTAACTATCGACGATCTGGGACGTAATCAGATTATCTACCCGATAAGTAGATCAAAAACCGAGAGTTGTACATTAGCACTGTTTAGTGCTTGGCATGAATAATAGCTAGAATTCTGTGAGCATGTATGTGGTTGCATTTTCTGATCTCGAAATAATTTATATTACTTTCAAATATCAATGGTGCAAATAGCAAAAAAGTCTTATTGGCTGGACATCACTAAAGTTGTCAACGGTTAGCTGCAGTTTGCTTGAAGAGCTAAAGGTAGACTTTGTGATTTGGTTTGCTGCTGTCTGGGACTAAATCGTCCCCGGTTTCTTCCTCTGGGTCTAGAGCAACACGTCCTTCTCCACTGCAGCTGTTGGTTCGTCCTCCTGCAATCACAGCAGCAGAATTGATGATTGGCTGCCACAGCTCTGCGATTGAAAGTGTTCACGAAAGCAATTCCAGCGTCATAGGCAATCAAGCGAGGCTGCATTGACAGCTTGTTCCGTTGTTTACCGTCTGCATACCTGGATCGGTTTCCTTCATTCCATACACCAGCCTGGGAGGGGATCCATACCTTGGTTATGGTAGATGTTCATGAAGTTACAGGAAAAATATCACTACAACCAACGGCCAATCATTTCAATACACATTGCCAAGTAACATAATAGTTGATCAGGAGGTAAGCCTGCGTAAAAGCAGGGGATGGCTGTGTCAATGTAGCTTAGCAGTTCAGAGATAAAATTATATTTACTTCAAGGTTCGTTCATCCGGGTGACAAGAAAAAAGGAAACCAGTATTTTATGCGGTACAGAATTTACCGTAAGTCAAATCTGAGCCCAGTGGTTAGGCGCTTTACCTCAAGTTGCAGTTACACGCACCTGGCATGTCCACTGCTTAAACGATCGAGAGTCATTGGATTCGAGAGCTAACACGCTGACCACCTTCGGGTACCCTAGTGGGCTAGATACACCAGAGTAATTTAATTGGAAAGGATGGAGTCTCTAACCCAACTTGCGATAACTTCTTTGTCAGTAGGTACGCTCCTTTAAAATAAAATGAGCAACCTCCGTGGCAATAAGTAGTTGTCCGTAGATACGGCACCTGCGAGAATATCAGTGGCAGCCCAACACTTCAGTTTACTCGCCTCTGCGTGGCAGCTGAATCCAGCCGAATGATCATCCCAGCTAGATTGTAACAATCTACTCCGCGTATCACACAAAAATTCAATGCAACCAAGTTGCTTTCTTTCTGAATAACGTAGAATGGAGCTTAGGCGTTGAACTTATTCTTGTTTATTCTGTGAGTGACGGCTAACATTAACTGAGATGTCTGATTTTTAAATGCAAAGGATTACTCTGCATGGTTCCAGCTGAAAACGTTTCCCATGATGAAGTGTCGGATAATTGCGCACGAAACGCATGGCGTTGATGCATATGGATGGGTTTAATGCAACCTAGCCATTACAACACCATATACCAAAAGAAATATGTAACTGCACTGTGGGTGTCAAAATACAAGTTAGTCAAATCATTCGTACGTAAACGAGCGCTCAATTATGAACAATCACTGGTGGTGTTTAGTTAAAGAAATCCATTGAACAGAAGTTTGTGTAAATGAACCTATGCTTTCGGTAATTCATCATCAAGATTACACAATTACGTGAAAACCGAAGTTTGTGGATAGACCCAACCATGGCTTCTGCGGCGTCTAATATCGGTTTTCGGAACTATTTTGATCGAGTTGCTGTAGCTTGATAGATTAGTTTGGGCGATTTGGTGGCGTGACACTTATTCGCATGATGCACGGCAATGGCCGAGTTAGTGGTCTTCTAACTCCATTTCGGAGCCAGACTGGATGGTGTTCCTTTTCTCTTTCGTATAAAATGCCTGCCCACGCCGAATCACCTGCTCCTCTAGAGCATAGTACCTTGACAAGTCGTTTATCCGACCTGGCTTGGAAATGGAGTTCAAAAGGCCACTAACTCAGCTATCGCCGCGCATTTTCGACTACGGGTCACGCCACTAAGTCGACTGATTCGTTCCAAATAATCTGTCAAGCCCCAGAGAATCGATCAACATATTTCCATAAACGGATATTAGACGCTGCAGAAGCCATCGAAATTCGGCAGTGCAAGGGCAGTGCAAGCATAACAAGTTAACATGCGTTGAGTCTACCCTGGTCTAGACGGATTGCAGTTGATTCGTGCGAGCGCGTGATTACAGTAGGTATACTACTACGGCGGTTGTCATTGCGCTCCAAAATCAAGTTGCTGACCCTTTGGGTCTTTCAGAAGATTCCCAGCAGATACACTCAATCAGACAGCCACTGCATATCCAGGAAAGCGTTAGACGGCGGTTTCGTCCTATTGGAACTCGTCAGTAGCGTGCACCCGCTGAATCCTGCCCGATTTGAACTCATGACCTTATTCTTAGGAGCCAGTGACTTGTACCACTAAGCCAAGGATGACGACAATGGACCGTCATGATTGATGTCTAACCGCAATATAGGTCGGCTCATCCTTTACTGTCAGCGCGTTATGAACGTGCAAACGACAGGGCTGGTTTCCAGAGATACAGCTTCCCATTGGGCCTGTTCACAAATTTTGGCTTTCATGTAATGGTACAAACCTGATGACGCATTACGGAGAACATTATTTCGCTTACATAGACAGTTGGTGCTGTCAGCTAACCGTTAGTAAGCGTGAGTACAGGAGCTCCTTCACTGATGCCACCCTGCTTAGTAATGCACGGTCATGTTGTGCGGCAGTGGAGTGGATCACAACATTCAATTTGCTGACGAAAGTCACTTTAACTGGTTACTGAGAAGGTTATACGATGCTGTTCAAATTATTCAGATCATAGATGCTTATCTGTCAAATGACTACTGAAATAAAGGTCCGAATGACATGCTGCTAAGTCTCACATCCCTGAACTTCGAAAAAGCTTTTGCTATCACGGTATTCCAGCCAAAAAACTTTATCTTACTCTCGAAGGTTCCAGGGTCATCACCCGGTTGAAGTGCAACATTCTGTTTCTTCGGTTGTCCCTGTGAGATCCACCACATGCGCCGCAGTTCCGCCGTTGATTGACTCGTCCGCTTTCTGCACCTCGCTGCCTATCACGATGCACCGTACCAGTTGACCGTGTGTCAGATTGATGTGAATCGATCCTCAATCTTTCCGGTTCATCGTCATTCACGTTCCCGTGCATTGATTTCTTCACTACAGTGGAAGTTGCATTGATCTGGCGTTCGTTGAGGCCAGACACGATGCAAGAGGCGTCTGTTGTTTGTGCTTCATCCTGGCAACCACGGGCCTCTTGCTGAGTGGCCGGTTGTCCATCGGTTACAGACGTTTGCTCGTCTGTTGACTGGCTTGGCACCTCACCGCTTCCACTCAAGTCCAAATCTACCAGATCTGGCATCCACGGAGTGCCAGCTGCACCGTTTTCCGAAATGATGCCCAGCTCGCGCACCTGGTCTGCACGTATCAGAACCAGGCCAGGTGTTGTAAGCACAGGGCCATGTCGCATGGTTGGACAGTTGTTGTTGTAGGCTTCACCAGAGGGTACACTTGATTTTGCAGAGCTGGCAAGAGAGGTTAGTGTATTTAGGTGCGTTTTAATGATACATCTACTTGCACTAGTAGAGCTCGATGAAAGCAACATACTGACAGTATCTTAAGTTGGTTACATTGGTTTCGGTGGTAATTGCACTTAGGTTACACCGGAATTTATTCTGTGTGCGGTACCGTCATCCATATTCATATCACGTAGTTTGCCGTCAGTTGAAAGGTTAACACAATCACCGACCATGAGTAGTGGTAAGGCTGTTGGTATGTTGCACAATGTATCTTTGAGCAACAAATGAATGGACGGCCGTTTCCCAACTAATAAGCCGTTCGAGTGTGCAACTGCCCATCAGGGTAATTATCTGCATGCCACAGACAAGAACTCTACTGGTATGCATATTTCCATCGATCGAATTTTTCATGCCATGGGCTCAATGGCCAGAAATTGCCAACGGTTACTGTTCAGGCTTTTGGAATGGTGATTATCAACAAAACGCGGTGAACGTTATGCAATTCCGTTGCTAAAACGAAGACTGCGAACCGCTATCCTCGGAAAAGCTCGTCACACGTGAACTTACTATGAGTGTGACGCTAACAATATTCTGACTTCGGCATTTCTAATGACGTTACGGTTTTGGATACCCGCAAAAGTACTTTGTAGCAAGTAAGTCGGAGAAGGGGAATCCGGTAACACAGGTCTCGAATTTTTGTTTGGTATAGAAATTTACCCAGAAAACCGATTAGAATAGGCTAATGTGGTGCAAAATTGTGAAATCCAACCAAGGTGAAACAGTTGTCCGAACAGGGGGATGGAGAATTCGATTCACCGCTGTGACTTGAATTATCACTGTTGCGACACGGGAATGAAATCGCACCTACGATTTTCACGTAGAGCTGAACTCAGTAGTTTGACCAGTTCTTGATGCTTTCAAATGGTTTCACCAGGTGCTTTATGCATTCATCTCAAAACGTACCGACGGTATAGCATGAGACAACAACTTCCAACACATTATCTGTTTATCTGGAACTTATTGTTTTCGTAGAAAAACAAAGTTCAGCTAGTTCCACACCACCGAAGTCAGGTAAGGGATATCAGCTCATCACTTGACTAGTGGTTTCTTATAAAGACATGCACTGGTTTAGGTAAACGTAGCGTTCGGCGCCGAGTGGGCGCCTGACAGCAGCGATTACTGGGTAACCGGGAGTACGGAAGTTCGCGTCCTGATTGGACAAAATTGTTTTGTAGATACATGAAGCAACATCTACTTAAATGAGTGTTTGGGTGCTTCCACATATTAGAAATATCCCGTGATTGGACTCACTGAGGTATACTACTAAACTACTTCCACTTTACTCGCGTGTTCATTAGCTCAACGTACAGGAAACTACCTCTCCAGGGTCTATATTTCAATCCATCAGGTTTTTCTCTTACGAAGTCATATTTAATCGAGTTGGCATGAGGTAGGCGGTGACTCATTTGAACCCTTAGAAGACAGTCTGATCGCCGGTTGCCCCACTGCATGACAAAGTGCGAGCTGTAGTTGAGGTTCTGTTGGCGATCAGCCACTTCATTGAAAAACTGACTATGTTTGCTTAACTAATATCTTGAAGTACGCATCTTTTACCTGGTACGTTCACGGCCTTCGCGTCACCAGTGGACATCATAGATAGCCCCTTACCCTACGGCTCGCATCAGTTAAGTAGTGTTTACTTATATCGACCATTTTTTCGTGAATTATTCCAACGCCCAAACACCGTTTGTTGTACGGTGATGTGAGTACTGTTGTGCGAATCCCGTTCACCGTGGCTGATCAGCTGACCGTTGTATCTTGTTGTTTCATTCCGGCTGTACATTGGTCACTTAATTGTGATGGTTTTTATTCCACATTTGGGGAATGATCGACACTAGTGTCAACAAGCCGCGTATGCACTGTTACCTCCTGGAATAGGAAACTGCTAACCGTCAATGGTGGGGAATTCACCCGCCTTCCTAGTACGACCAAGCTCAAAGTGTTACTACCTAATGCTGCGAAATTCAACCCAACAATCGCCTTGCGCACATCTGGTAGACATTTTTGCCCGCTTTGCATTAAATCATATTTAGCTGAAGGTTTGGGAGACAATGCCAACTCTATCGTGTTTCTGGTTTGCATATCACTATAATTTATTCACCATGGCTCTCCATTGAGGTGCTGAAGTTGCGAGTGCCAGATGCAGGACAGTCATCGTCCCACTGCGGATACCGAAGGGCTGTAGCTACTCGCAGTCCCAAGTATAGACAATCAGGCAAAATGACCCAGCTAAGGTCCGGAGTTTAGCTGGGGGATAGACACGTTCATTTAGTTAACCTCGGAAGCCACCGGATTCCTGAGAATGGTATAACAGCGTATACATCCCTAGTACGTTCCCTGCAACTAGTCTGAGTCAAAAAACCACTATAAATTGTGGGAAGGCCATTTGGTATATCTGGAGACGTTTTGAATGCTGTCAACTTTTGAGTTCGCGGCAACAGCCACTAACGCACTATAGAGCTATTTTCGGTGTCATCCTTTAAAATAGCGGCAAATGTCAAAATAATTTTGTGGTATTTTCAAAACACCGACATTTAAGTTGTATTAAAGCAATTTTGATGCCAGGCTATCTGCACCTAGGCGATCTCGATAAGAAGTGGATAAGCGATGAGGGTGTTTGCTATACTTGAACCAGGTTTAGTAAGTGCACCCTTCAAGTGACTGTCACTGACCTCATCAGAAACAGTGCATCTCGTCTGACTACTGATGCTTTGCTGCCATACATCCATGAAGGTTCCGTTAAATGACAGTGCGAATATAATAGATGAGGGAGTTGATAAATGCTCTAAACATGCTATGCAGTCAGTCATGTTCGATTCTTCTGCATCTTACCACCAAGAATCATGGTGGCCAGCATCCTGCGATATCCGCGTGGCTCACGTTGGCTGCCAGGAGAAGGATGTGCTTGTCATCGACCGCAAAATGACCCGGTCAATCTATTGCTGGTTTCTACCTACTGGTTTTAAAATGCTTTATGACTGCGGTGACTTCTACTTTCTACTAACTTTACACTACGTATAAACATCCACGATTAATCTACCATCGCCCTTTGGACATCTGAAAGACAGGTACTTCGGTCCATTGGGAAGTGACGGGTGAGTGAGCCAATCTGCACCAACAGGACGGATATTGTGAGCTCAATGGCAATACGTCGCGCACAAAGCAGAAGTCATGTATTAAAAAGTGCACACCTAATCGTTAGCCCTCGGTAGCTCAGTGGTAGAGCAGCGGACCGGAAATTCGTTGGACCGCGGTTCGATTCCCTGTCGAGGCACATTACTGTGTGTGAATTTTAATCGTGACCTGTACTTTCTACGAACATTTGATTTGTCTTAAAATATCTGCTACATAACTTGAATGTAGAAAATTAGTAGTGGGTAACAAGGTTTAAAGTGTACTCCGGTATTAACAGGTAGTGTTGAATTTTTACTCGTGATAAGTAAGTCATTAAAACCACACTGCTTGTAGTTTTTCTGTTCATATGGCTTAACTTCAATTAACTTACTGTCGCTCCGATTCCAAACCTTGGGCTGTAGTGATGAGAGATGAGAGCAGGTTGCCATCTCTACCCTTTAACGCCCGTTCTCTCTTGTGCCGGCGTTGCTGGAGTTTGGACTCAGTCAGTAGTAAAATATCAGCCGGTTTCAGGTTAGCCAACATGTGTAACTGCACTCTAGTTGGATCGAAGCTGACAACACGTTGGAGCAGAAAGGCAGAGTGATCATCTAAAATGCCAACCAGTTGGCCCAAATGGACTAGTGTACCGTGTCCGTGTGTCACCAGCCGGATGAATGGTCCTCCCGACTCTGTTGGCAAGGGACCAGTAAGCATGCTCCAATCCACCTCAGGTAAACTAGTCTGCTGCCTTACAGATGTCAAAATTTCGCCTGTTTGGCTGTCAGGATGTGAATGAAGTGCGTCGAAATGCGGCTGCGAGTTCGAATCCTCCACTGGCGAAGTAGAGAGGGAGGCTAAGGCGGCGCATAATTTCCCCAGCTCAGTTGACAAACGTTCAGCCAGCAACGCGGTCATATCGGAGGTCGTGGTCGAAGGCTGTTGGGGGCTTTGGTCGGTCGATTGCGTGTTCAAGGGCGTTGCGGGAGGAGTGTGTGACATGCCAATTCTGTTTTTTTTGGTGTTTGCTGTCATCAAAAACGGATGGGAAATCAAGATAGCAATAATTTATCGGTGGGTGGAAGGGAAGAAGCTGCTTCTCTTTGTATCGTCTTGACACACCTTATTTACAAAAAAGCTGCAAAAGTGAGCAATGTATAGGCGAATAAAGCTTTACTGATACTAGTGTTGCCATAGGTAAGAAAACGCACTAGAAAGACAAATAATTGCAGTGACCTTAAAGGAAACTAACAGCAGTTCTTACTGAATACTTCAGTTTGGTCGCATGAATAGTGCTTTCAACCAGGTTTACATATCAGCATACCCACAAGGATATACTTATGAAGCATGATGTCACCAGTCTAGGGCACGCTAAGCTTTCGCCTTATCTGCTACATGCCATTTTCAGTTGGTGCTTGAAATGTTTTCTGAGCTCAAAAGTTTTGCCGCAAACGTTTCATCAGCGTTAAAGGTGACACCATCATTGTGCTATTACGTGGCGGAGCGGCGCAGTGCGAGGCGTTGATGAGTCAGAATGATCGTTGGTTTGGCCGGACGAGCCGTCACAGAATTCGAATTGTTCGATGGGCACATGACCACCCAAAGTGATTCTTCTGATTCGTCCCGAGTGACGTTAGCATGCGTGCCTCTGCGGTTGACCTCGTCCTCCGACATGGATGTCCTGCGCTTTGTTCCGTCCGATTTAGTTGGTGAACTTGCTTGTCCTTCATCTGTAGTGCCACGTATTCAGCATCCAGTTCATCGTGTCGGTTGATTGTATTAGCCTTGTGCTCCTCGAGCAATTCGAACTCAGAATGACGACACGCCCGCCCAAACAACGATCACTTTAACTCAATACCGCCTCGCATCATTCCGCTCTGCTACACACTAGTGCACTGATGATGTCACCTCGAGTGTTGATGAAATGTTTGCAGCAAAACTGCAGAGTTCAGCGAACACTTCAACCAACGACTGAAGAAACTGAGCTACCAGTATTTACCTCCATATCGTATACCATTGTTCCAATTGGACAGTTTTGTTACTTAACATCCTTGGAATAAGTCGTAAGTACTTGTTGGCCTTTCATTAGCTTGCGATGCTCACTAAAACGCTTCTGCGAAATAACAAGACTGCGATAATGGGTGGAATACCGAAACTAAGGTGACAGCTGAAGCGCACGTTTATTTAGTATACTCACGAGCTCTTGGAACGCCGAGAATAATCCATGGCAGATATTCCAGGGGCTGCATTTGGTAAAGGGATTATGTTCTGCTAAAACGTGTACTATAACATAGGAGCTAATCACTGAAATTTCACAGCCGTTCGCATTAGGCACCAAAGTGTGTTTTGGTAAGTTACAAGATTAGTGTTTTACGACTAAGATGTGTTAGGTGCATCAACCTGCATCTCTTTGGGACTTGCTAATTGCGCTGGTCCATCGTGACTGAATACGATGTCGAGGTAACAGCGACCAAACGGATAAAGCATCATGATGGTGAGCACAATTATAGTTATTTGTTAGACGATAGATCACAGTTAATCTGCAGCCAGATATCTTCCTCCAGGGGTTCTCCAAAGAGTCGTTCTAGCAGAATCTGGCCGGTTACTAGCACTCATCCGTCGGTTATGCCGCGAACACAACCCATAACCTCTCGATACCAGTGGCTTATGTCACTGGACTGTGAGTGATGGGGTAAGCATTAACCATGTTTACCTATTATTCAGTTTGGCTTGGTGCTACCACATTTCTATAGCCTTGCCATGGACCCGTCGCTTCATCGGTGCACATTGTATCGTGTCCATTTGTGTCGTTGTTGATTTTACAATCCCTTTCCAACCTACGGGACAAGTTATACCCGCTTTTTTACTGGTCAAATACTCTTGTTTTATCACCGGTGATTCCCATTTGCATGAGACGGCGGTCTGATGTTCACTCGGCTGTATGGAAGACCGCTAATTAATAGTGATGAATTAGCAATTAAAATTGTACTGAAAGATCCTTATATCTAAGTGGGTTTAGTTGAAATTGGGTTGAGAGCTGGTTTACCAGATTCTGAAGAACCCAAGCCACATTTGTCGTTTGCTGCTGGAACTGAACCATACTGCAGTATAACCGGTTTGAAAGCCGTAGAAATTTGTTTTCCTTCCGCGTGTATCAACCTTGGAACCCCCTCCCTAATTATGTCGTCTCGGCTCCCATTGTGGAGATATTTAAAAAACGAGTTAACGATGCGTTGTCTCATTTGCATTTCATTTTATAAGTTGCTAGCCATGGGCTACATAACTTAATCAAACGGTGTCTTACCAAACTCCCAAGCAATGTATTTATACCTTTAACACGCAAACATCTCCGCTATTCTACCTGGGTCTATGGTGAGTCCACCAAAACGCTTTTCATGTTATCATACAATTTTACTTTCGCAATAAGTTACTTCCCACGGGACTTGTTAAGCATTGCTTTTCTACCCGCAATCTACCATCGTTCCGTTGTTTCATGGTCGGAAGGGGCTTCAGAATGTAGGCTGGTTCCGAGAAGCGGTTCACAACCATGCTGCCAATTTGTGTTAAGTTCCCGTAGTAGGAATGGTTTTACAGCCCAGGACAGTAGGCTTAAAATCAACGTTTAGATAGTAGATGTAACCCAACATGATCCCCTTCCACGCAACTTCACTTAGCGCTCCTTAAGAGCGCGGCGTAAACTCTACCTGAGGCGTGCAGGTTTATTCGTTTGTGGGTCTTTAGTAATCGATGAGCTAACTTGCCTTATTTGGTATCAACATTATTGGCTTACTCCTTCGAAGTCAACGTGTCTAGCAGTATTCTGAAGCTTTTACAGCATACAATCTCCCACGCACTCAGCTTTGTTTTACTTTTTAGTTGGAACTTTGCAATATGTATGTAGCATCTAACCGGAGTTACTTAAGATATGACCTATTTCACTTTACAGGCAAAATTGACTCCGGTTATTTGTTGTAGGCAAGTAAGCATGTTCTTTCATAAGGCATCCAGAGAGCAGGATTTCTCGTCAAAACTCGATGTCTTAGGATGCCGTTTGCCCATTATGATTTATAGTTTAACTAGTCCATTATGTATGTAGGTCATTCGGGTCAAACACAGGCTTTCAGTTTCCTAGGTCCAAATGATAACCTCAAACAAGGCATGCAGTGGGAACTAGTGACGATGTCCTGTTACTTTCGGAAGGCACTATTGTCACAGTATACAGTATAAAATTGTCTAAAATGGCGGACATCAAGATATCCTTACCTTTGGTAAACCATGTCGCGATAGGATTTTTAATGGAGGTGGGCATAAAACCCACTGAAAACCTCAGAATATCTTTCACAGCATGATGCTAAATTTTTATTGGTTTGACATTTGAATGCTGCTAGCGCCTCACACTTTGTTGCAACGGTCTGCTGCTGCCACTCGTGAAACAAGCGTATAAGGCACAGGCATCAAGAGGTAACGGAGCATGTTCTTCCTGAAGCTATTGTTACACGTTAATGACCTTCCCATTGAGATGTTGGCTACTGGCGATCTCGGTCTGGGAGGGTGGCAACCCACAGTTGTAATTTCTGGGAACCTTCAGCGGATTAAACAAACTGGCAGTAATAATCATCGAATCACTTACCATAAAGTTGCGAGTGTTTGGGCCTTTGTTGGTAACAGTTAAGAGTATATTTCCAAAATATTGGCCGTTCACCAAAGTCAGTGCAAACTAATCGCTAGATATAGAAACTTCCGAGTTTCTCACATTTTTGACTTAGAGCCAAGGGATTTCCAACGGTTTTGACACTTCTAAGAAGCCTTCTGTGGTCAGCAGTTTCACAGGGCTGGTGAAGTGGAGCAGGCTGCCTAAAGCCCGTTCAAGCATATTCACATACTTTTACATGCTAAAACCTTCTGAACACTAGCGAAGCGTTGTGTTGGTTGCATAGCTATAGCTGAGGAATACAATGCCCAATAAAAGCAACTACCACGTCCCAAAAATGGTATGTGAACTTTTTGCAAAACCCATTGTACAGGAAAGTTTTGGAGGGAAAATGGCACTACCTACTCGATATTTATAACCTTTGGCTGCATTTTGTACGAGGCGAAGGACCAACGGCTTTCGTAAGTGGTTAATCATCCGTCCTTCATCCACACGGTATTGTCAATCGAAAAGTTACGCTCAACTGCATTAACGGCCATTCCTCCCAGTAACTAAATAGCTGCAAGTTCCTTAGCCATGCATATCAGTGATGAAATTCATTCATGCACACTCTCATGTCATCACTTCAGATAAACCGGTTGGTGTGTGTGTGTGTGTGTGTGTGTGTGTGTGTGTGTGTGTGTGAACAGTCCACAATTCCTGATTTCTTAGCTCAACGTAATTTGTGGTGCAAAAGTTAGATAACCCAAGTTAAACTAACTCAGAAATGCTTCACATTCCTCAGAGTGTTCCTTCTATTTTAAAATATCTTGCTGTCAAGTAGAAAAGACAATCATCAGTTTATTAGCTTTCACAGAGAAGGTTCCGTATCGACTTTCTAGCTGTAGGTGCTCCGATGCGAGCCTCCTTGTGGTCCTGTTAATTGTTGGCAGTAGCGAGCGGTCGGCGATAAAAGCGGACTCGGATCAAAGGCTATGGATGTAGGACGGATTATGGTTTTGTGGTCGAAGCCCTGATAACCAATAACGGAAGTAGTTTTAACGGTCTAGAGGTTCCTCGATCTGCCTGAAAATGTGTAAAACGAAAAATTATCGTGTTATTGTAAACTTAAGTCTTTGATGTAGAATATTGAAGCCTATGTTGTGTATGTTTAGCGGACTAGTGGTAATCATACAAACACATGGCGCTGCGGTGGAATTCGTCACGTCATTTCATCGCGCGGCAGTCAAACATCTATCCAGGCTCGCATTCGTCGTGACGACAAGGCATGTTAATCTAAAACACAAGACCGTTGTGCAACTTGCACCTACACATTCGTCCCATCACCTCCTTGCCGTCTCTACAAATATCTGAAACAGTACTCACCAATAGGCAAAC